AGGTATCGATAGTTTTTTAAAAAACTGTCTTTAATTTTTTAAACAGCTTATACTTTCTGTTGCTTACCAGCCACAGGTTTCGGTAGTGTTTGCAAATACCATTGCAAATAAAAAAAATGTTTATCAAATGATTTTATTTTTAAAATTGCTAAATAGATTACAAATAGTGCTCAGTGGAAAGAAAATCAGAAAAATGATTTGAACAAAAAATGTTTATATTTTAAAAAAAGCAAGTATGATAGCTTTACTGTGAATGCTTGGCATGAAGATGGCTTTTGAAAACATGTCTGTGCTTGAAGGTTTGCTGACAAATAATGCATTAAAATGGTCTAGAGTTTTTGTGAATTTTTAGGTGAATTTTGAGACTACCAATTCGAGTGAATGATTTGGAGCATACTGTGCATTTGTATGCTCGAACGCCAGTGTGCACCAGTTGGTGTTGTTGAAGATGATTCATCAGTTTGAATGATTTGGAACACACTGTGCATTTGTGCGGTCGGACGCCAGTGTGAATCAGTTGGTGTCGTCCGAGACTACCAATTTGTGTGAATGATTTCGAGCAAACTGTGCATTTGTACGGTCGAGCACCAGTATGCACCGATTGGTGTTCTTTGAGATGAAATGGACGATCAAAGCTTTTGTTGCACTGCTGACACTTGTGCTTTTTGACTGTTCTTTGTCGAGGGTTTGTTTGTTGTTCCTCTGATGAACTGCTAGAAATTTCATTGACCACTGCTTCAGTTGGCTGAGGTTCTGCAGAATGAAAAGTGTTACACAAAAAAATAAATAAATTCACCCACTGCCCACTCACCACTGACTGCTTCATAATCCTCATCATCAGTTTCAGTGGCATCAGAGTCAGTTTCCGATTCTTCATTCTCACTCAATGTCTCATTCATTTCATTGACATTTTTAGGTGAAGGAAAATTGTCTTTCATAAACCAACGATACTCATCATCGTACATATTAATTTGAGTTTCAGTCGGCTTTTCATTTTTAATTTTTGATTCTGTTGATTTAAAAAAAGTTTTTTAGTAAAGTTAATAGTATCAATTTCCTACCACTTACCATTGCCTACTGGTTGATCGACACTTTCCAAAACATCGTTCTCAATCTCCGAATCCTCTTCTTCTTTCACCACTATTCCCTTATTTTCTTCTTCACCATTTTCTTCATCATTATTATCACAATCAAACTCGTCGTACATGTCACCGTCAGTTCCAAACAGCTGCTCAGTGTCAGACATTTTCCTCTGCAACTGGTTAGACAAACAACAAAACAAATGGAAAGAAATAAAAATAACTTCAGAAGTTGAAAACAACGTGGACGATATGAAGGGCTCAAATAAAAAAAATACCACTGAGCAAACCCACTGCCTGTGTTCCTTCTCTCTTTCTTTTTCCACAGCAGCTCACGTGTCCCTAGGGCCCAACCAAGTGCATGTGCCTTGCTCGATTGTTTTGCAGTTGTCCAGGTATCGATGGTTTTGAAAAACTGTCTGTTTTTTTACTTTACATTTTTAAACAGTTGACTTGCTGTTTTTCACTAGCAACAGGTGTCAGTAGTGTTTGCAAATATCATTGCAAAAATAAAAAATGTTTTTAAAGTGATTTTATTTTTCAAATTGCTAAATAGATTACAAATAGTGTTCAGTGGAAATGAAAACAAAAAATGGTTTAAACTACAAATGTTTATGTTATAAAGAGGGCAGGTAAGGTAGTATTACTGTGAATGCTTAGCTTGAAGATGGTATTTGAGAGCACGTTTCAATTTGAAAGTTTGTTGACAAATGGAGCATTGAAATGGTCTAAAGTTGCTGTGAACTTTTTGGTGCCTTTTGAGACTGCTATTTTGTGTGAATGATTTAAAACATACTGTGCATTTGTGCCCCCGAATGCCAGTGTGCACCAATTGGTGTCTTTGGAGATGACCAAGTTGTGTGAATGATTTGGAACACACTGTGCATTTGTGCGGTCGGACGCCAGTGTGAATCAGTTGGTGTGTTTTGAGACTACCAATTTGTGTGAATGTTTTGGAACAGGTTGTGCATTTGTGCGGTCGGACGCCAGTGTGCACCAGTCGGTGTCGTTTGAGATCTCCTTTGATTTTGAATGATTTTGAGCAAACTGTGCATTTGTGCGANTTGGTGTGTTTTGAGATGACCAAGTTGTGTAAATGATTTGGAGCAAACGGTACATGTATGCACTCGAACACCAGTGTGCACCACTTGGTGTCGTTTGAGAGTAGATGAATCATAAAAGCTTTTGTTGCACTGCTGACACTTGTGCTTTTTAGTTTCTTTTTGACGACGGTTATGCTGTTGTTCACCGGAGGCACTGCTCGAGCTTCCATTGACCGCTGTTTCATTTCGCTGAGGTTCTGCAGAATGAAAAGTGTTACACAAAAGAATAAATAAATTC